ATCGGGAGAGTTTGATCAGGATTCCATGATCGGTGATTCTCAAGTCTTTTCCCTGAGAAGAAATCTGCCAGTTGATTATGGAACTAGAGAGCCAGTTGGAGCTAACTGGATTTAATAGCCGGGAAATCCACCGTTGCCGGGTTACAGTTGTAGGTGCAATGCTACAACAGGCTACGAGCCTACAACTCAACGAATTTTGTGTCTCATTCTCTGTGTTGTTATCTGTTACACTTTTTATTATATTGTTAGTTCTTTAAAAACTAAAATATGACACTTAATAATAATATAATTAAAAAAAATAAATAATGACATAGAAAATGGGATAGAAAATCCATTGCAAGCCTACAAGCCCGCTTCGCTGCCTGGTCCAAGCCAAACCAACTTTTGCCTATATTGGAAAACACAAATCTGTTCTTTTTTCAATAGATATACATGTATGTATATACGTACATATGTACGTATGCACGTAAACATTTCATAGTCAAAGAGAATCATGTCAAGCCATTTAAATAAAGGTTGGACTTCCTCCAAGCCCAGATGCTACGGAAGAAGTAAAGAAAAGTACGTGAATAATTAAACAAATGGTTCTTCTGTAATTCGCTGTCAGCTAAGTACTGCAGTACTTATAGACTTTTGTGCTGCTGGAGAAGGAGCTGCCGCCTTGTTCTCGGCTAGCCGCTTTCAAATGTATTTAGTGATGTCGATTGGAGTTTTTAGACGGGGTATTGGCAAGTGCAAACTCGCCTCACAAAATATGCAAGTTTTTAGATTTTGGACATTCAAGCTTCGAGTTCAAATTGAAAAGTTCAAATTCAGCTCATGCTATTTTATAAATTTTGGTCTCAAATTGGGTTCAAGCCAACCTCATAATTAAATATATAATTATATATAATATATATTTTATAATTATGAATTACTATAAATTTATGTATAAATTCATAACATTTTATGTATAATATGTTATAACATGTATGTATGTGTGTGTCTATATATATATATATATATATATATATATATATATAACACACTTATGTATGGTCTAGTATTAATCAAGCCTAACATGACCCAAGTTCGTATCATATTTAATTTTGATATAATATTTAGGTTCAAACTCTGTCAAATCCAATTAAAAATTAGACTTAACATGCTTTTTTAAGGTTGAATAGGTTGGGTTTTGGTTCATCTGGACTTATTGACGGCCCTAAATGTATTGGTTTTTTATAGGAAGCAGGAATGGCAACAGGGTGGGGGACCCTTCTCCCACCCCTCACTTCGTTGTCCAAACCTTCCCCTTGCTCCACCTCACTTTCCTCACGACTCACGAGCTAATAGGATAAATGTATAATTAGTAAAAAGTCTAATAATCATTTACTATAAATGTATAATTATTAGCATAATTAATAATTATACATGATATAATACTTATATTAATAATATTAAATATATTATATATTTATTTTGTTCAAGCGGGTGACGAGACAAGGGTACACTCTCCCGTCCCCCACCTCATTTTTTAATGAAAGGAGAAAATGCCCCCGCTCTATCCCAATCCCGTGGATACTCGCCTCAATTGTCATCTCTAGTTTTATGAAAGTGCGATGCTACTGAGATTTTCCCCGGTGCTGCCGGCTTTTGCTTCTTACTTTGCAGTCTTGTGTTTTTAGTAATTTCAGCCGCTTAGATTTTGGGCAAGCCTTCATTATCATTTTTCCCCACTAACGCTGGGAAATTTTTTTTTTCAATCATAAAACGCAGCTGTCACACAATTGTAAAACAAGAGTGCGGCTATAATCCTTACCTTGGTCAATTCGTTTATTTATTTATTTATTTTGTTAACTCGACAACTTAACTTGCTTTTTCTCTTGCATAATTTGCACTTTTTTTTTTTGGCCGCAGGAGGCTGGATTGGGCAATTTTGCTCAACTTAGACTTGTTCTGGTTTTTTCTGCCACTGCTCACAAACTTGCTCAACACATAAATCATGGAAAAAATGATTAAACAAAAAAGCATGCAAACAACCTAAAAGTCCACTTGATTGATCTGCATAATCATGAATGCCTGTGATTTTGACAAAGACCTCCGCGTCAATCCAAGGTTTATCCCTATTTTCTTTGGAATCAGTATCAAGCATAGTTAGTAGAGACCTTGGCCAAATATGCTTACATCTTTCTAATAGCAAATAGTCGGGTGTAGGCCCGATACCCCAGTGATGACAAAAAAAAAAAAGTAGTCCTGTGGAGACGAGCCTTTATCGCCCACATACACCCTACACAAGCCGAAGAATTTCAAGACTTGGTTAATTAGCCTTCTCTTCCTGGCTTCTAATCTTAATTTGTTTTTACTCTTTAGTGATTTCCTATTGTCCTGGTGTAGAGACCCCAAGATTTTTTCCAAATCAATGGGAAGGAAAGGAAGTATATATATTTGGGGTCATGGGCTAATTAGAAAATTAAGTTAACCATTTTGAATCAGTAGTTTTACTTACTTGAACCAATTTATGGACCGAGGACGTCATAGTTAATATCAGAGTGAATCCCGTATGGATTCTGCATGAGATGAGACCATCTTTGCAAGGATGCAAAGGTCTCAAGAGAGAGTGAATATGAAACCCCAAGATTTGTCTCACATCACATGGTCTCTCAGAAAATACCATTTTTGCAAGGATGCAAAGATCCTAGGGAGGTGAATGTGAGATCCTAAGATTTATCTTACATCCCATGGTTTGTATGCAGAGTGAAACTGCGAGGATGCAAAGAGCCTAAGAGGGTGAATATGAGCCCCCAAGATTTGTCTTGCATCAATGGGAAGTAATGGAAATATTTTGTATATAAACTCGAAACCTATGAATTATTTAGTAATTTGAGTTAATCATTTTGAATATGTGATTCTGTTCGAAAATTACTTGAGCCAGCCTGTGGACCGAAAGCGTTACACTCGGCCATCATCAAATGTGGCAGAATTCGCCCTAAGCCTTTCCTTATTTCTGATACATGTATTTTCTTCACGTAATTTGCCGGCTAAGGATTCTTGCCGAATGTTAAAGGGATTAATTTGAAAAAAACTAAGTATATTTTTCCCGTCCATTTTGTCTTCAATACGACAATAGCACAAATATCAGCCGAATACTTAAATACTCCTCTAACAGCACATTCTTAAAAAAGGAATTGCGCCAGAATCTCCACATGTAAATCTTGATTTTGAATGTGTCTTAAGCCTAATGTCATTGTCATGAATCTGCTAATTAAAATATTCATTACATCGCAATTGAAATGATTGGACAAGCCTAGTATAAATAGCAACACTCGATTACTAAATCAGTGTGCCTAATACAACTAGCCTGCTAGTGAAAAAGGAAAAAGAAAAATTTACTACTAGCCTGATTTGCACCAAGGCCAACCAACGGGAGACCATCACCTACCATGGCCTATAAGCCCGACTCACCTTCAATAGTTGGCATGAATTCTCCAACAAGGAATTCCCGTGATGACTTGTATATGGTGGAGCAAGCAAAGGAAACTGTTAAGCGAATAATGTTCGCCAAAAAGGTTCCAAAGCCTGAGTCACCTTCAAACTATCAGAAGGTGATCAGTTTAGCTTTGTTGATTATTACGCATCATGTACTACTGATAGTGTGATTTCCATATAGTTTTTGCGTACTGAAATTTATCATTTACTTTGTGAAACACGCTCTTGCAGAGCTGGTTGGCACCTACATATTCACATTTATGGGTTGTGGATCGGCTCTTGTTGATAGGATAACTCCGCTGACAATTGTTGGTATAGGACTCATCTGGGGTCTGGTCATAATGGCTCTAATATATGCACTTGGGCACGTCTCAGGTGCCCACTTCAACCCTGCAGTCACCATTGCTTTCGGTGCAGCTTCTAGACTTCCTTTGGTGCAGGTAGAAAAATTTCTTTCCACATGCAGTAATTACAACATTTCAAACTAAGTGCATGAAGCAATCTGCTAGTACTAAAAAAATACACAGTTTTTGCTTTCTTTCCATGTATCAGTTTGTGATTAGGATGCATCCTGGCATGTGATTGTTTTGTAGGTGGCTATCTATGTTGTCTCCCAGTTGAATGGTTCGACGCTTGCATGCCTAACCTTGAGGGTGTTATTCCATGGCCAACATGATATACTTCCTACTCTTACTCAGTACAGAAGTTCAACCAGTGATCTTGAAGCAATAGCATGGGAATCATTATCACTTTCATTCTAATGTTCATCATCTGTGGAGCAGCAACCGATGATCGCTCAGCAAGTAATTCTTCAAAAAATGACTAAAAGCTAAATGCATTATATCGAGTATATAACCGTACAAGTATCGACTTGCCTCATTTATTTTATGCAAGCTAGTTTTGCTGTTGTAGAAACTTTTCTTGTGATCTCTGATGAAAAGCTTTGTTTGATTCATGAAAACAGAACAAGGCATTATCTGGAGTGGCAGCCGGAGTTACCATGTTGTTTAATGTTATCATAGCCGGGTAAATTCAAGTTCTTGTATGACCAATTCTTTCCGTCTCCCTTGAAAAGGCAAAAGAGCGTAAATGAAAAATGCAGACCCATCACTGGAGCATCAATGAATCCTGGAAGAAGCATAGGTCCTGCAATAGCATCTGGTGTCAATAAAAAACTTTGGGTCTTCATTGTGGCACCCATCCTTGGAGCCCTGGCTGCAATGCTAGCATACAGTCTCCTTCGCATGCCAGAGCCAAAATCAGAAAAGGAAGAGAGCACCAATGTCGACCATAATGATTTCTACGTACATCCTGATGTGTGAATGAGATATCCCTCGATATTGAAGCCTGAGGCATCTTTGTATGCAAATGGATTCTGCTCTGGTATGGGAATTTCTCATTATTTTTACTACTTCTGTATCCATCAAATGCAAGTACTATCACTTCACAGAGGGAAAGGATATTTTCTTTAAACCTTTCACAATTTGGAAAACCGACTACACAATTATCCTGTCCACGTTGCACATATTACAGGATGAATAAAAGCATTTCCAAACTGAAAAACTTTCATTTCATTTATAAGGCAGGGAGAGTTAATGTTCAACATCCCACTGAGCCACGGACTGTCAAAAATATACCAGGCACACCCTCAGACAAAGCATAGCTAGCGCACAATCCTACAGTATTTTTCTGATACAGTAATAAGGGACTTCGGGGGAAGAAAAAGGAGATCGCTTTATTGGTGATTATAACATCAGCTATAATCAGCCTACACTCAGAAAACCAAAACCTCGATCCTATTTAGATTATATCACTACAGCATATCCCTATTCTAAAACACTCATCTGTGCTTAGAGGATATCATACACTATACAGCTGAGCCACATCTGCAGCACCGATGGGGCGAGGAGAGAATACAGACAGACCCCCCAATCTGATTTCATAAATTTTGGACACAGTTCCACAGCTGATTGGGTCAGAGAGGAAGGATGTGAACGCCAGGCATCAGGAGCTAATTTAGCAGTCAGAGGCCAATTGTAACCATCATTTTAGATTGTCCAGCTTTTGCCTAATAGCTAGTGATTTGTACGGGCTCACCTGTTAGCAATGCACACAAGAATAAGAATTTCTACCACAAATACTGGCATTTAATTGAAAAAAAAAATTAAAACACAAACTAGATATTTCTTCTTAAAGAGTGTAGACCTCTTTCCTCAGAAATAGCCATTTCAGTGACTTGGTAGATAAATTGAGCAGCAGCAACACTATGCATGATCACTAGGCTCTAAGACATTAAGCAAAGGATATAACAATTGAAAAGTTGAAGTAAGAAAACGATACTTGTACAGAACTGATTCGTCATCTTCATCTATTTTAAGACAAACTGTAAATACAGAAAGGAAAACAAAATCGAATAACAAATAACAAGATACTAAAAGTGAGTTTGTATAGGAGGTTATTTGGAAAAATTTTTTGGAGTGACACTATTAGCACTTTTTGTGAAATGACGTCCGTGAAATAAAAAAAAAGTTAGTTGGAAAAATAATAATTGATTGGAAAACACGTTTATGATATTTGCACCAGGGGTGTGATTATAAAAAGGAAAAGCACATAAACACCAAGATGATACATATTCTCTTACAAGAAAAGTCCCATTTTGGAGAAACCATTCTCTTGATATGGGAATAACCAGCGAGCCCGTCATCAATAAATTTCATAGCCCCATGAATGCTGCAAGATTTATGGATAACTTACCCAGTTTGAGGGAGCCCCCTCCAGTACATTAGCTGATGAGACTGCGGATGCCTCTGCAAGTATGAAGCACTAGTTCCTATGCCATTGTCTTCTGCAGCAAATGGATCCGAAAAATTTGAACTTGAGGGAGACCAAACTGGAACTATGCCTCCATCCCTTTCTCGTCTACCACTGCTGGAAGATTCTGCTGTTGAGTCCTCAGAGTTTCTTCGTCCTATTGTAAAATTATATACAGGCATAATGTTGTTACTCTGAACTGTGTGCCTGGGAGGGCGGGTAGTTACTTCTCTTGCAGGTTCTTCAGTTACATTAACAGTTCTTGGCACTTCTGCTCTATTTTCTACAGAATTTCTCATATAAAATGAAGTTTCATCATATTCCGTTCTCACCAATGATGAAGTCATGCTTGGGACCATCTGATCTTCATAACGTCGGATGGTTGTGGTTGCAGCATTATTATTTCTAGCAGGTTCCTGATCCATCTCCACTTGCATGTCCTGAGGAAAGGCAAAGGGGCCTGATTCAGAGGAGTCCCCAAGTCCTTCTTCTGTTCCATTTTCAAGTGCAGCTCTTGACACTGCTGCATTCTGCCACATCTGTGAAAGCGCCTCTTGCAACCTGACCTTTGCTGCATCTATTTCAACAATTGGAAGAGGATAATTGGAACCTAGTTCAACACCAGCAGCTTGGAGGACTGATTCTGGTGCGTCCCAAGGATGGTGTATCCAATCAGTAGGTAGCCTAGCAAGTTCAGGAAGCCATCTTCGAACATACTCTCCATGGGGATCAAATTTATATCCCTCAAACTGCAAGAAATAATAGATAACAGAAATATTCTTATCATTTTTTGCAATGGTTCCACAAATCAAATACTAATGTGATCAGAAAATGATGCAAGTGCAATCAAATTCTATAGCATCGCATCATGCATTTTGTTAGGCTGATATGCATAAAACACAGAAACAAGTGGTAGTCGTAATCCATTCTCTCCCTGTAAGTACTAAAACCATGACGGGACTACTATTACACCATGCTAAATTCTACAGGAAGATCCGTTTACAGAGTGGAGCTATGCGAGAGCTTCATGCTCTATTTTTCCCTCTTCTTTGTTCCATCGAGACTCAGAAGTCTCTGCTGATTTATCATAAAAACAGTAACTTAAAACTTTAAAATGCAGATTGGAACCAAGTAAAACCATTGCTCCACATTAGGTTAACCAGGGCTCCAGTCCACTAAAGTAATCAAGGCATTGTCCAAGACTAGTGAGGAGTAAAAAGGCCATCAACACTAAAGGTTGCTTCCCCAACTTGAAGAGTAAAATGAGAAACCACACCCAACATTTAAATGGATCGTTTAGGGAGCAAAAATTCCAAATGTCTGCAGAGGCATATCCAAACTAAACCAACAATTATTTTATGCAAGCACAATTCTAACCTGTGGATTATCAATGCGGTCAAACTCACGACTATCAGGGAGAGTACCAGAAATATATTGCCAACCAAGAGCATCACTCTCGAGATCTGCATCCAGTAGTGTGTCCCAGAAATACTTCATACCCCACCTCCAGGGGAGTTGCAGAACCTTAACAAAGAAACTAGAGACAACAACTCGTATTCGATCATGTAGCCAACCAGTTGCCCAAAGCTCTCTCATACCAGCATCTACTAAAGGATAACCAGTTCTTCCTTGCCTCCATGCCTTAAAGTATCCCTCATCCACTACCCAAGGGAAATACTTTAGGTGGCCAAGCAGGGGCCTTTCATGGCTGTAAGGATGATTGAAGCTCATGTATCTTGAATATTCTCTGAGACCAATAGACTTGAGGAATAGGTTGACACTCTCTTCACCAGCTTTATTTCCCTCATTGGCCCATAGAACTTGCTTGATGCGAACAAGATGGAAAACCTTTCTTACACTGACTTCCCCAAAATGTAAACGGGGAGAAAGAAACGAGGTTGTGGCGCTATCGGCCTTTCGGCGGTTCTTTGAGTACTCAATTAGTGCCCCATTAATGAAGGTAGTTAGTGCCTTGTCAGCATTACTCCACCCAGGCGACCATGCTCGAGCGAGAAGTGCATTACTTCCTTTTTCTGACTCATCTTCAAAGACTAAAATGTCCGAAGGGCATCCAGTGACGTCTCCTGAAATAGTATGGACAACAGTTTACTACAGTTGCATTTAAGAAAAAAAGACAACGGAAAATGATAATCACAAAGGAGAGCAAAGTATAGACGAACGATGGAAGCTTAATAACATGACAAGACACTCAGCTGAATCAGTCAACTAATACCAATAAATCACTCTAACAAACTGACATACTTTGTTGAAGTTCATTCACAGCTAAAAGCCTTTCGGTGGCTGATTAAGGTTGCAAGTCAACTTTTGAAGACTGTATACTGATTGAAACAAACGTCAGTGGGGAAATTTGTTCATCTTTGAGGAGGGTAATTAGCACGCCGAAATCAATAAATTGGACACAATTTCTACAAGAATATGAATGCTGCAGTGGTTTATTCTTCCCTAAAGGTTATCATTTTAACTTTGCCTAACAAGAGATGACTTCCCACCAATGTCAACAAAATAAAAGGCTAAGTAGAAAATCCTCTATAGCAATTTTAGTTTTCTAGCCAGAGGAATGGATAGTTATGAAGGTTCTATCTGCAGATGTAAAAAAAATAAAAAAGTGTTTCCTCAAGTATGCCACATTGCTAGTAATGTCATCCCTCAAAAGGCATGGAAGCTAATGAACAATTACATAAAAGTTTCTGTGCGATTAAAGTAAAACCATCAGATGCAGGGTTTAAAATGCATGATAAATTTGGAAAAATTTGTAAAACATCAGATCCTGGATTTTCAAACAATTAAACTTTCTACAAGGAATGCATCATAGACTCCAGTCCATATTCTGTTTTCCATTATTTTAGCCATTTTTGCGTTTGGAATCTTTTCACTGATGGAGCAAAAAACAGTTTAAGTACTCACCATTTCTGTCTGGATAAATTTCGATGCAGATAAGACATGCTGACCTTGAAAAGTTTAACAATTGAAATTGACTATTTCAAGTCGAGCAAACCCATAAAAATTCAAGAAAATTACTATTGATATATTTTTATGCAAGGAAAAGAAAAACACACTCACACACATTTAATACGTATACAAACCAGAGATAATTCTTTTGGGCGGAAGCAGTGGAGAGTCGGGGTCGTAAGGCATGCTGAGGCATCTCTCCCAGAAAGATGCAAAAGTTCTGAATGGACGACCTTCCTCATCGTGGATTTCCCAAGGTTCATAAAACAGGTCAGCATTAAAGGAGCGTACAGCTACACCTTGAGCTGTTAGAACTTCCTTTGCACGGTGATCCCGGACAAGCGACAAGGGGTCTACATCATATAAAAACCAGGTAAGGTATCATGTGTTCACCTTAATGTAACTAAAAACAATAAGTGAAGAATGAATAAGCTTTCAGAGTTCAAACGCTTAATTTAGACAACAAGCTTCTGAGATGACATTAATGAGGATCATATTTTAGAGAGTTAATATCTAAATTAAGTTAGGCGGCACTCAATTTACAAGTACAGAAGTCAGCAGGAAATAAGACAACCAAGAGACCATATTCTCAGCTAGAGTTCCATAATTAGTAAATGGGACAAATTACCTTTTATTCCTTATGATTTCGTGTTTTATCACACAGCCTCCTATAATTTAAAAACCTATATATAACCCCTCTTATGATTTGAATTAAATTGTCACCGTTAATTTTTTCGATAAAACTAACGGTCAATAGTAGAAAGTCAAATTCAAACTAATAAATCGACAAATTTACCGTTTCATTATTTTTTTTCCCTCCAAACATAAAAAAGAAGAAATTGAAATAAAAAATAGATAAATAAGAAACAAAAAATGCCATTAAAGATTTGGTTAAAAAACCTATAATGATATTTGTAATAAAAAAAGTTCAGGTACTTTTTGTTTCTTGTTTATTTGTCCCTTCCATCTTTTTTGTTTATTATTTATTTATTTTTATTTCCTTTTCCATCTCTTTGTATTCGGAGAAAATTAAGATTTTGTAAATCAAAGTATAGGTTTTCAAAATCATCCCTTTTCTTCTCCAAAAGAGAGAGAGAGAGAGAGACGAAGAAAGAAAGAAAAGGAAAAAAGAAAACAAAGCATTGAAAGGGTGAATTTGTTAATTTATTAGTTTGATTTCGACTTTTCACTGTTGACCTTTAGCTTTAATGAAAAAACCAATAGATCACACCTTAACACAAATTACGAGAAAGTTACATATAAATTTTTAATCTATGGAGGTTATATGATAAAGTATGAAATTACAAGAGTTAAAAAATAATTTACCCTTAGTAAATATTAACTCCAAGAACAAACATACATATCTTTATCGCGACAATCAAAATCTTTTTTTTTTTTTTTTTTAAGGAAAAGACAATCCAAATCTCATTCCTAAAAAGGGAACAGGAACCTAACTGCTCATTAATTTGTTAAAGATGTGCATTACATTAATGTAAAGAAGAGACCCACGAGCAACTATAAAGAAAAACTGGAAAAGTATATAAATAAGCACAAATTACTTCCGATGCCAATGATTGCTTTTTGAAAAAACCAGTAGACATTGAACTCATGTAAGCAGTTGAATATAAAATAATCAGAAAACAGAACCGGAGAATTAAAATACACAAAAGGGCCAATAAAAATATTAACAAAACAAGAAAGTTAATATTAAATGCTTATGAGACAAATCAACATGATCCAACCACCCATAAACTGAAGCCAAAACTCACCATATAAATGGTTGAAGAAGAGCTGAGTAGCTCCAGTAGACTTGATAACTTCAAGTAATGTAGAAATAGTATTGCTAGATCTCTTTGTGATAAGTGCAGTGCCAAGGCTCCTCAAAGAAGAATCAAGATGGGCTAAACTCTGCTTGAGCCACCATCTTGAGACCCTTCCAGGATAGAAGTGACCCTCTTCCTCAGGTGACCAAATAAACACAGCAACAACTGCTCCAGCTCTAACTCCAGCTGCTAAGGCTGGATTATCTTCTACTCTCAGATCCCTTCTGAACCATACAATACTACAACCCCCACTTGACATCTCCCAAAATTGTTTTCAAGAAGCTAACTTTTTTTTTTCTATCAACTCTCTCTGTCCTATCTTCAAACCATACTATTACGTGCCTGCGTCGGATGACTATACAATTAATCTTATCCTTTTCACTGTTCCCTCAACCTTTCCCCATGTGGTGAGATGGATGATTTCAGGTTGCAATATAGAAAGATTGCATCTTTCTAAGGGGAAAGAGCTCAGGAAAAACTTGTGTAATTTCTCCCAATATCTGGGTGAATCTTTGTTTCTCTGAACTTGACACTGGACAAATTGGGATTGGTATAACAGGGAGGCTGCTAAACAACTAGGGAGAGAGAGAGGAGAGAAATACAGAGTGGAGGTGATTGGTTAAGCTAGTGGGGTTGCTATAGACTGACAGGCCAATTGCAACCACAGGGATTTTTTTTTTTTTAAATATATATCTTTTCACTTCCTCTTATCCTAAGCAAGAAAACAAAAATCGCGTCTCACACACAGCCCTCTAGTGACTTCTCTCAGTCTCGTACCCATTTGACAGGGTGGAAAATTTTATGCAGTTTCTTGAAAAATTTGCTGAACAGCTCAGTGTGCAATACGAAAAGTCATGTGGGCAGAATATGTACAAAATGACAAATGTTGTGATTTCTTCGCTCTGAATTATTGCAAATTGAAAGTGATCTGAGAGCTTATACTTTTCTATCGTCATGCCATGTTGCTCCCTGCAAATGAATGAATAACTTGACACACTTGTTGATTGTTCCTTGTACAATCCTGTATGTGTAGGTTTCCTTGTACAATCCTTGAGTATTTATAATGTTAGACTCAAAAAGGTAACGAGCTTAGATATCTTCCCTGAGTTTGGTGACACAGTATTTATGTAAGTCTCTCCATGTCCTGAAAGGCTTCAAAGAGTGATTTCTTCAATTATTCCTAAAGATATGGAAACGACACACCATTAATAACACAATTTGGATTTTGCCTTTTTAGTGTGGTGGGCCTTGGCTCCTTTACCAAGCAGACCTCCAGATTCCCGTCTTACTGCAGATTGACTTCATCTCTTCTTCTGTTTATTTTTTCCTTTCACACTAAACGGTGTTGGAAGTTCGATTCTTTTTCCACTTTGGAAAATTACTTGATATTTTCATCCATGAAAGCCTGCATTCGTTTTTGGGTTTTCTTCTTCTTTTTGTCTAAAAATATGATGATATTAGCAGAATCACTATGATTTTTTGTGGATTAGACTTCATTTATATCAATTTTAACTTTTGTTTTATATATAACTTTTGAAATTATAGAGAAGTTATGTAGAAAAACACTAAATCATAGGGAGTAATGTGGAATTTGCCCTAAATAAAAAGCTGCGAATTAAGCATGACTTCACCAATGGTAGAGCCAAGACCTTATGATTAGGAGGGCAAAATTACACGAGCCGATAACATACGACTTGAGTTTTAATTCTTGTTATTCAAAAGAAAAATTAGACAAAGGTTATTCTTATCTTGTTGCACTTAGTTTCAAAAGTCTTCACATTCTTATTCATTCAAGTGACATTCTTCACTTTTCAAATAGGACAATGGAAAATTTTTTATATTTTTATGGGGGTAATACGGAGTAAAAGAAAATTTTATAAAATTCAGGGGATGCAAATATGAGACTAGTTAAAAATTATAAAAACCTCTATTGCCTAATTTCTAATTTTTGAAAGTTGAGGAGAAGTAATTGCCCACCCTCACAATCATTTGGCCCCTCCTCTGGACTCCACACTATTTAATCTTCTCCGGCTACCACATTATCTATAAGTCTACAATATTTAGATTTCTCCATTATCCATACCCTTTAATATTTTTACACACTTGCAATTTCCTTAATATTATTGAATATTATCCATGGCTACAAGAAAGATCTGAGCTCGCGGCTTGCCCTCTGCAGACAAAAGCTGGACACCCTTGAATGGACCACGCACCTCTCATCAAGATATCACCTACTAGTTTAGCAAGTACCAATAGTTCTATGCTTTGTCTCAATCTGATAATATCGAAGCTTGGGATCTCTCGAGTTGCCCGGCCTCTTCCCCCAAGATGACCCTTGTCAAATCTGAGATGCCCTGCCTTCACTGGTGCCTCCTCCTAAGGAGAGAAGGCGAAAAGAGAGCTCAACTAAGTCGGAGAAATTATCTCGCAGATTCTTTGGGTGAATTGTTACTTGTCTTGAGGTTTCTTAACACATTCGAGTCGGATTTTACCTAAGAAAGTATACTTATAACAGTTGACAAAATGCCATGAAGGTTTCGAGCTGGATTTTGATACCAAGGAATGGGTTAAAATGGAAACCTCAGAGGGCAGGACTTTCGTTGTGGGCAATAAGTAACAACAAATGCATTTCTGTACATGCTGCTGATTACCCCGGATTGAGAGAAGATTCCATCTATTTCAGCCGTCTAGATGCTGAAATAGATATAAAGCCAGACAGAACACCTAGTGAATATGACGTCTTAACTAACTAGACTAATTAGTTCGCATGTGAATCTGAAGCTTATGATTGGGCCTTTTTCAGCTCAAAGCACACAGAACTTGACGTCCTTTACCAGGATGACTACAAAAGGATCATTCCCCATCCTGTCTGGATTTTACCTCAGCTGTAAACGCAATTAATTGAACAGCTCATTTTTCCCAGTGTTCTCTATTCTGTTTATCATAATGTGAGGTTTGAAATCATTTTATTATTGTATTTTCATTGATTTTTGGAAGTACTTGTGCTTCAAACACATCATTAATGCTAGGACTTTGGTTTCAATAATTTCAAGCTCAACTAACAAACAGGAGAAATGCAGAACGGATCTGTTGTCCTACTCTTTCTACCAATTTCTGTTTCATTTTTTATTATATAATAGAAAATTAAAACATACAACAAAAAATTCATTAAAAAATCACTTTATGCATTTTGATGTTATGAATTTGTTAAAGTTGTGTATTATTCAATTAATAATTATTGAATTTTAAGAAAATAAAAAAAAATCAAAATATGATGTTTATAAAGGAAAAATAGTAATATAATAAAAAGTGAGATAGGCATTGGCACAGTGAATATGACAGAAAATTCATTACGAAAAAATGCTACTACTACTTAAAGTAGCTATGATGGGTTTGATGGATTAACTCCTCCCGATTAATTGGAGACGATTAATTCTCTTTCCATAGCACTTTAGATAAGTATAATTATGATCTTATTTTTGAAAATCAAAACCATTAAATAACATACTTCCCCGTTTGTTTATGTTGTATACAAAAACTAGAATTAAGTTGATAAATTGGGATAATTTCAGAAACCTCCCATGAGGTTTTTAACAACTTCATTGACCTCCCGTAAGGTTTTAAAAATGACATAAACCTCCCCTGAATTTATAGTTGTAGTAACATGATCAGCCCATGTCAGAAAAATGAGCATCAAAAAAGTATTTTGAGAAGTGAGATGATATTTTTGTTCCACATATGCCCTTTTTGCTTATCCACAACTTGTATTAGTAAAAAAATGAAAAATATTAAAAGACATAAATAATTAGTAAATTCTAGTAGGTGTAACAGCAATTAGGAAAAGTGCAGTAGCAACAACTTGAAGTTTTAGTTTGCACCAATGTCTAGTGCAATGGCCATATTTTTAGTTTCTTTCAAAAGCATATAAACGGCTCAAGCAACTCAAGAAATAATTTATTTTTTGTGTGATTATCTAATTTTGAGGTAATAAAAAATGGCAAGGCTGGAACAACCAAAGGCTATAGTTAACATGGTACTCATCATAAATATCACACCAGGTGTTGTTTTTACATTCATCCAAATTGTAAAATTAATTGGATAAACTCTCATAACAAATGTAAAAGTGCCACGACACTGTACCAACCATTTTAAGTCTTTTCTGATTATATAAGAAGAAAACCAGTAGTACTTGTCAGTTGGATTATATTTGGAAGAAATGTATGACTTTTATTTGATGATTACTACTGTAACTTTACTAAGAGATAATAAGCAACAACTTATTAGTTGAACACTTGAACTAGTTAGTAAGACAACACAAGTCACTTGACATTAGTTCAAAATTGCTATAATTGTAGCAGTTGTAGTACTACTTAACTATTGCTGCAATCCAAGATAGTTTCAAAATGCCATTTGCCCCAAATGAATAAAGCAGACGGTGAGGATTGCAAAACCAAATTTCATGACCATTGATTATTTGTCACTAATGCCAACCATATATAAAAAGCATGAGTGGGTAGCCATGCCAACCATAATCTCAATACCTGAGGGGAGCCATGCTTTTCTCTTTCTTTTCCCTCCATTTTTCTATCTTCTCCAAGCCTTCGTATAAAATTGTCCTTGTGTTGCACTTTGAAGTCATGTCCAATCACAAAAAATGGCGCCATATTGGTGCATCAATTAGTGTCATTTCTTAAGTGCAGTTACATTGGCTTATTAGAGATAGAACCATAGTTAATATCATTTAATTAGTTCATTTATTTAATGACCTAATTATATTTTTCCAGAAATTCATTTCTCATCAGCCTTTTATGCATTAGGGCAAAGCAGTAAATTCATTCCAAGTTACATCAGCAATGGGCTCCAAAATCAATTGAGGGGAGGTTAGTGTTATTTTTGAAACCTTAGGGGAGGTCAGTGAAATTGTTAGAAACCTCAAGGGAGGTTTGTGAAATTATCCCTTGATAAATTTTGCTACTGGATCAAACTTTGCAACTTATGGCCTAATTTTAATTTATTTTGCATTGACCAAAAGATTTGTGCGACTTGAGAAGAAAGATTATTTGCCCAACTTCATTCTCAAGTTTCTTGATCTGCTTGCCAAATACAATTATGACCAAGCAGATTATGTCATAACAATTTATTGTATTTATATAGGAAAGAAAGTGGACGGATAATTGGAGAAGAAAATCAAGCAAAAGTGACTAATAATATGGTTTCTTGGCATTCAAACTACCTCGTGAGTTATCCCCTGAAATAAAGTTCCCTTTCAGGTAAAAAATGTAACAAATAATATCTTCACAGATAGTAACCTTTTTGTAACAAAGATGTTATATTAAATCAATATCTATGTGAAGCCATGTATATTTGTTATGTTACAATTATGTAGCAGTACATTGTTATTACTAATATTTTATTAAATTTATTTCTCTTCTCTAACACATATTCTTATCTTATGTATATAAACGTGCCTCGTATATATTTGTGCCTAAACTAGCTCATCTATATATGTGTGAATATAATTTTTGGATTTCTACAATTCTTGAAGGCATTTGCTGCATCATATATCATTTCAATTTTCGCATCATAATAGAGTACGGGAGTTTGTAAGTTGATATTTTTTAAGAGATAAGTGCGGTCCGAAAATAAGTTGTTCATGGAAA